CAAGACAGAATAACAGTATCTACTTCACAGGATTGTAGTAAGTATTAAATGAAATAAAGCTCACATGAAGTATAGTTAGCATGTGGCACTACATGTGGTACTAAATAAGGTCACGTTGGTTCTCATCATTCTTCTGCATATGTGTCTTCACCATCATTCTTCCTCATCTTTTTCTTGCCCATTGTCCCTGCATTTGTTATCTACCTACTCATATTATGGTCGATGAACATCAATAAAAACAGTCCCCACTCTTGCTTTAGCATCTACAATTGATGTCCTTTTGGCATCACTCAACTTATGAATCTCAAGTACTCTTAGGTGTCATATATAGGAAGCTACCATTTTGAAAGCTTACTGCACTCTATTGCTTAGTGTAACAGTTAGGAATGTTCTAGGTTTCTAGTTTTGGAAAAGCCAACAAATACTGGCTTAATCAAAGGACCTATTCTCACAGGGAGGCATTGGTTCAGAGGTTCAGCTATGTCAGGATCAGTGCTTCTTTCATTCTCTTGGGATTTTGTAGCTCTAGGAATCATTTAAAGTACAAAGAGTCAGGGTGAAGAGGAAGTGGGAGCATCAGCAACATGTGTCTCTTTTATCAACAAAGAGAAGCTTTCTCAGAAGCTCACTTCTGGCTTATGTTTGGATTTCATGACCATTCCTGCATCTTTTTATTTCTGTAATTTTATTTTTTTAAATCCACAAGCCTATATTTTGGGCTTCCCAGGTGGCTCAGTGGTAAAGAATCTGCCTGACAATGCAGGAGATACAGGAGACTTGAGTTTGATCCATGGGTCAGCAAGATCCCCTGGAGAAGGAAATGGCAAGCCACTCTGAGTTTTCTTGCTTGAAGAATCCTATGGACAGAAGAGCCTGGTAGGCTACAGTCCGTGGGGTCACAAAGAGTCAGATACAACTTAGTGACTGAGTTGGCATGGAAACTTGTATTTCAGTGTTGGACTACAGGCATCTGCAAGGCTTGGTAGGCAGGACACTTTGACAGCTTTTTATCATTTCTATAGTTTTGTCTTTTTCAGAATGTCATTTAGCTGGAATCACATAGTATGTAACCTTTTCAAATTGGCTACTCTCATTTAGCAATTTGCATTTAGGATTCTTCCATGTCGTTTTGTGGCTTGTTAAGTCATCTTTTAAAGTAAAGGAGTAGTATTTTATTGTATTCATGTCAGACAATTTGTTTATCCACTTCTGTCTTGAAGAACATTTTGACTGCTTATAATTTTTAGAAATTACAAATAAACCTGCTGTAAATGTTTATGTGCTAGTTCTATCATGTGCTCAAGTTTTTAGCTTATTTGAGTAAATATTCAGGAGAGAAATTACTTGATGGTATGTCAAGGATACAGTATTTATCTTTTTATCTTTGATTCATTTCACTAAAGCTTAATATTCCCTGGGTCCATCCACTTTGCTGCAAATGGCAGAATTTTGTTCTTTTTTCTGGCTGAATAATATTCCTATATAAATATGTGTATATATATACATGTATGCACACACACATACACACACACACACACACATATGGGCTTCCCTGGGGACTCAGACAGTAAAGAATCCACCTGCAATGCAGGAAACCTAGATTAGATCCCTGGGTTAGTGAGATCCCCTGGTGAAGGGAATGGCTAACCATTCCAGTATTCTTGCCTGGAAAATCCCATTGACAGAGGAACGTAGTGGACTATAGTCCATGGGGTTGCAAAAAGTCAGACACAACTGAATGACTAAGAATATGCACACACATACACGTGTGTGTGCATGTATGTATACATACATACACCCATCTTCTTTATCCATTGATATGTTGATGGACACTTGGATTATTTCTATTTCTTGGCTAGTATAAATAGTGCTGCTATGAACATTGGGGTTAATATATCTTTTCTTTTCAAATTAGTGTTCTCATTCTTTCCAGCATATACCTAGGAGTGAAATTGCTGGATTGTATGATAGTTCTATTTTTAGATATTTGAGGAAACTCCATGATATTTTTCATAGTGGTTGCACCAATTTACATTCCTACTAACACTGTACAAGGGTCCCCTCTTTTCCATATTCTTGCCAACATTTGTAATTGGTAGATTTTTTGATGACAGTCATTATAATAGGTGTGAGTGATCATTGTTGATTTGATTTTTATTTCTCTAATAGTTAGCTGTATTGATCATGTTTTCCTGTGCTCATTGGCAATCTGTATATTTTCTTTGGAAAAATGTCTATTCAAGTCTTCTGCCCATATTTTGTTTGGGTTGCTTGTGTTTTTTTTTGTGTGTGTGTGTTTTATATTGAGTTGTATATCTCTATAGTCACTCTTGGTAAAAACTCTCATCAAAAAAATTTCCACATTTCTCTGATAATGAGTGATGTTGAGCATCTTTTCATGTGTTTGTTAGCCAACTGTATGTCTTCTTTGGAGAAATGTCTGTTTAGTTCTTTGACCCACTTTTTGATTGGGTCGTTTATTAATGTATGGCAAAAACCAATACAATATTGTAAAGTAAATAAATAAATAAAACTGAAAAAAAAAGTTTCCACAGGGGGAACATATCTCAATATAGTAAAGGCCATTTATGACAAACCCACACCTAACATCATACTCAACAGTGAAATGTTGACTATATTTCCTCTAAATTCAGGAACAAGACAAGGATGCCTGCTCTCAACATTTGCTATTTAACATAGTTCTGGAAGTCCTAGCCATAGCAATCAGATGAGAAAAAGAAACAAAAGGCATCCAATTGGAAGAGAAGAAGTAAAGCTGCCACTATTTGCAGATGATGTGATACCTGATATAGAAGACCTGAAAGTCTCCACTGATAAAGTAATAAAACTAATGAATAATTCGATAAAGTTGCAGAATACAAGATTAATACACAGAAATCTGTTGTTTTTCTATATGTTAATAATAATCTATTAGAAAGAGAAAGTAAAAAAAAAAACTGATTTAAAACATCCCACCCTTGCCTTCTCCCAGAGTCCACAAGTCTGTTCTATACATCTGAGTCTCTTTTTCTGTTTTGCATATAGGGTTATCGTTACCATCTTTCTAAATTCCATATATATGTGTTAGTATACTGTAATGGTCTTTATCTTTCTGGCTTACTTCACTCTGTATAATGGGCTCCAGTTTCATCCATCTCATTAGAACTGATTCAAATGAATTCTTTTTAATGGCTGAGTAATATTCCATGGTGTATATGTACCACAGCTTCCTCATCCATTCGTCTGCTGATGGGCATCTAGGTTGCTTCCATGTCCTGGCTATTATAAACAGTGCTGCAATGAACATTGGGGTTAAAAATCATACAGGTTTAATGTGATCCTTATCAAAATACCCATGACACTTTTCATAGAACTAGAACAAATAATCCTAAAATTTATATGGAACCACAAAAGACCCAGAATTGCCAAGGCAATCTTGAGAAAAAAGAACAAAGCTGAAAGTGTCGCTCTTCCTGACTTCAGACAATACTACAAAGCTATAGAAATCAAAATAGCATGGCTATGGCACAAAAAAAAAAACAGATCCATAGATCGAAGAAACAAAATAGAGAGCCCAGAAATAAGCCTATGAACCTATGATCAATTAATCTGTCACAAAGGAGGCAAAAATATGCAGTGGAGAAGTACTGTCTCTTCAATAAGCAGTGCTGGTAAAACTTGACAGGTTGGGTGCACATATTATATCATATCATGTAAAATATCATGTATTTTTTACATACCACATAAAAGAAGGATATGAGAATATTTGCTCACACTATATACAAAAATAAACTCAAAATCACCTAAATGTAAGATCAGAAACTTTAAAAATTCCAGAAGAGAATATTGGCAGAACACTTTGACATAAGCCGTAGTAATATTTTTTTTGGATCTGTGTTCTAAGGCAAAAGAAATAAACTCAAATATAAACCAATAAATAACTTAAATTTAAAAGATTTTGCACAGCAAAGGAAAACACTGACAAAATGAAAAGACAACCTACCAAATGGAAAAAAATATTTGCTAGTGATATGACTGACAAAGTGTTTAACTCTTTTCCTTACATTTAGAATGACTTTCAAGGCCCACTTCAGAGATCACCTCCTTGTGAAACCTTCTCTGATGCTTCCCCCAGGACACTCCCTTCTTGTTCCAAAGTGATCACTTCCTTTTTGAAATCCTGTTGCTGGTCCTTCTGCTTTCTCTGAAGTCTACATAACCAAGATGTTATTTTCCATAGTAATGCCTATCAAAATCTCCTCTACAATTTCTGAGAGCTCCCGAGGCATTACTTTCTTGTGGTCCCACTTTTCTGCCTGGCTCGTGGGCTGAACTCCATCTTCCCTTGAATCAATCCAGACAGAAAACTCACTTCCTTCACTGGTTTTCATAGCAAAGATGATCTATACATGAGAATTTTGTAAGTTTGGTAATTTAATGGGAAAGGACAAAAAACAGAGTAATGTTCATAACTTCCTGACTAGATCTTTCCTCTCTCTTTTTTTTCCTCACTCCCTTTATGGAGTAAAAAAATGTTCCTCTCTTTGATTCATGTGTAATTATTTTCCATCCTTCTCTGGGCTTTTGGGGTTGCCAACACACTTCTTCCCATGTGGACGTACCTGTTGAAAGTTCACTGTCAAGGCACACTGGCCACAAAAGCATCTGCCCCTGAGACAGAGGGAGTTTTCTTCTATCAACTGCTAAGAGAGTACAGTTTATCTTGTCATACTATAGTAATTACTTTCACACATATACTTTTTCTTGTTGGATAGTAAACTCCTCAAGGATAAGAATCAAGTTTTCATCTTTCTGATCTTCATAGTTCCCACTTTAGACATGGTGGTCAATAAATTTTTACTGAAGAAATGAGTAAATGATTACGCTGTATATGACTTCAGTCCCTTTCAGAAAGAACCAAATGTATTTCTTTGAAATAAGCATACTTGAATCAGAAGAAATTAACCCATTTTATGGGTAAGTGAACACAAAGACCATGATTTCTTTGCCCAGTATGTAACATTTAATAACAAATGACAGAAGACATTGAATCACAGATATAATTGAAATAGCCAACAGGCAAAGGGGAGGATGGAATCAGATGCTGAAATATGGGAAAGTCTAGTCTCCTTCTTAGAAGCTGAACATTGGGTGAAGAGCTTCTAATCTCATTGGTGACATCTGAAGATGTCACTTAGCTATACTCTGGTGCCTTTGATGTTGCAAGAATTTGGGGACAAACAGAAGCTAAAAAGATCATAAAGCAGGAGAAATAGGCTTGTGGACAGTTCAAAAGGATAAATTCCACAATATGTCAGCAATATTCAACCTTGCATGAAAATCAGAAATAGTATAACCATAGCAATTTGATGATGAGCAGGTGGTATGCAGCATCTGCCATGGAAAGTCAAGATATTCATTGCAGAATGGAATCAGACAGAACTCATATACTTGGTAGCGCCCATAACAAAAACCCAAACGGGAGACTAAGAACTTGTTAGCTGTCCATGGGTGGGTTGAGGCGATAAATTGTTCAGAGATACTGTGTCCTGGGCAATTTTAAATGAGCAGTGTGGCTTTTAGCAGGTGGGCTCACAGCAGGTGGGCTCGCAGATGGGCTCAGTGCAGATGGGCTGGCAGCAGCAGGCTGGGCGGCAGCAGGACTGCCCACAGTAGGATGGGCGGCAGCAGGAGGCCTGGGCATAGTGCAGCTGGCAGCAGGATGGGGATGTGCAGCTCACCACACAGCAGGGAGGCAGGCTGGTGCCCTCCACGCGGCAGTCAGGGCGGCACCATCTGGTGCGGCTGCTCACAGCTCCACTGCTGCCCACCTGGCCATAGCCAATGCTGCCACCAATGCCATAGCCAGTCTCACAGCCACTGGTCTGGAGGCAAGTTGGCTGGCAGCAGCTGGTCTGGATGGAAGTTGGCTGGCAGCAGCTGGTCTGGCAGCAGGTTGGCTGGCAAAAGTTGGAACCACAGGTCCCACCAGTGGAGCAAGTGGGAAACCCACAGAAGCTGGTGGAGCAACAGGCCATGGTGTCAGGAGTTGGGCTGAGAAATGCAATGCTTGGAGGATTTGGGGTGGTGACTTCTGTGTCAGGCCTTTTATATATCTGGGCCAGCTGCTATTTATAAAATTATTAGCATATCTTCCTTGTTTTTGTATAAATTTGTTTTTCAGTGGTCCTCTGATTGGCTTACATTGAAATACCTATGATACATTATGGGCAGCAGTTTAGAAATTACTTCGTTTTATAGTTTCATTTGGACTCCTCATATTGGCCCTTTGCTCTTTGGAATAAGTTTGTGGTTTTCCATGTTCAAAGAGCCCTCCCATTTTTGTCCACGTCAACACCCTCATTTTGTAGAGGTAGTTATTCCATGTGATTCTCTGTCCAGGTCTCTAAGACTAAGACTAATTGTGTTGTTTTTAGCTATTTTTTCCCCTCTTGAATATATAGAGTGAATTCTCTTGAATTTAGAACATCAAGACATCCACTGAATTGAAAGGCACCTTTGGTCACACATAATTAAAAGCTCCCAACTCATTTATTCCAACATCAAATAAATCACCATCATTGTTCCTTTGATTTCAACCAATTTGAAATGTGTAAATTATTACTTGTATTTCAGGCCAGAAATATTTCCTTGTGAACCAAATGATATGGTATATAGAAAGATAACCAACACAGTGCTTTGCTTCTGGTAGAACCTTAATAAATGTTTATTGAATCTGATTTTCAATGGGTGGAGTAAAAGGCATGATTCATAGGTGTCTATACCACTTATAAATGATTAAATAGAATGTTCAAGCTGTAGTGCCTCTCATGAAGCAGTCCTTATTATTGTCAAAAGAGAAGAGGAAAAGCTGACATCTTTTTATATTTAATAGTTGAACTAAGTCTTAAGAAAAAGCATCGATAAGCTCTGACATTTTGAAGGGTGCACTGTATCTAATTTCCTCTTCTCTGAAATAAGTAATCTTGTGTGTGACCTATCACTGCCACCAACTGAACCAATAGAGGTGAGTGCTGGGAGCTTGTAATTGTCTCAGAAATATTTTTCTCAAACTGTTCTATGTTTTGTCCTATTGTATTTTGTATGTTGTGCTCACATACTTAAGAACTGAAAAAATCAAATGGTAAGAGGTATTTTTTGTTCCAGATGTGTGTGCATTTATTGAGAACATTTTTCAGACTGGGTTGCAAAGTATAAAATACATAGTTGTTTCAGGTTTCTGATGAATGTGTCTGACACATCCATTAGAATGGTGATGGTAGAACTCACTGGTTACCTCCGCAGCTGTTTGTTCTATTCTCATTGAGACCATAGATACACCATAAAAATACAGTTAATGGTGGTTAGTGTTGGATTTGAAACTTAGAGAGCAATCTGGGAATCAGCGGGAAGAATATAATAGGCTAAGGTTTAGGAACTGAACATAAATGATCTTGGAAAATAGATAGTATCTGATAGTATCTGGTTGATATTTTGAAATCTAGTTAATAGGTAATACAATTTATTTAGATATGGAGCCTGCATGAAGGAGAACATCTAGTGTATTAAGTAGAAGGAGATTAAAATATGGTAGGATTACATCTATAGCTTTGATCAATCTGAAAATGTTAAGTAAAAATGGCATGGTGGCTCAGAGGGTAAAGAATCTGCCTGTAATGTGGGAGACTCGGGTTTGATCCCTGGATTGGCAAGATACCCTGAAAAATGAAATGGCAACCTACTCCAGTATTCTTGCCTGGAGAGCCCCCATGGATAGAGGACTGGTGGGCTACAGTCTATAGGGCTGCAAAGAGTTGGACACGACTGAGCAACTTCACTTTCTTTCTTTTCACAACAGATTAGATCAGGTAAGTATTTGAGCAACTATGAAGATTACTTGAAGCATGGAGCATATTGCTAAGCAATAGATTTAAGTATAATGTAATTTGTATTTAATCTCTCTGGCTTAGACTTTAAGTTCATGCCTTAGCGTTACTGTCAAATTCACTCTTCTTGAACTCCAGCTAAAGGTGGATAAACTTCAAGGTAGAAGGAAGAAAATAACTCAGTTTTCTTTGCAAGTTTAAGTATTTTATTTGAAATTAACAGGGGACATTGAAGGAGAAAGCAGGTCTGAAAATATGTGGGAATCAAGAGAGGAAAGAGATCAGAGATGTCACTGAAATGAAGAGCTACTCGAATCTGGTACTCTGCTCAAGCAAGGCAGGAAATTCAGACATCGTGGTTGAGGCTTGTTTTCAATGTGGTATTTCAGAACATTCAAAAGTATCCTAAGACTTTCATTTCTGAGCAGCTTAGAAACTTCGCGATACTTAGCATCCGAGAAAAATCGAATGGTTCTTCAGAGATCAGCACAGGTTTGTTCTGCTTCCCCTTTCATTCTTAAGTAATCAGCACCCTTGCTTTAGCAGATGGGCTCACAGATGGGCTCAGTGCAGATGGGCTGGCAGCAGCAGGCTGGGCGGCAGCAGGACTGCCCACAGTAGGATGGGCGGCAGCAGGAGGCCTGGGCATAGTGCAGCTGGCAGCAGGATGGGGATGTGCAGCTCACCACACAGCAGGGAGGCAGGCTGGTGCCCTCCACGCGGCAGTCAGGACGGCACCATCTGGTGCGGCTGCTCACAGCTCCACTGCTGCCCACCTGGCCATAGCCAATGCTGCCACCAATGCCATAGCCAGTCTCACAGCCACTGGTCTGGAGGCAGGTTGGCTGGCAGCAGCTGGTCTGGATGGAGATGGGCTGGCAGCAGCTGGTCTGGATGGAGGTTGGCTGGCAGCAGCTGGTCTGGCAGCAGGTCGGCTGGCAGGGGCTGGAGCCACAGGTTCCCCCAGTGGAACAGATGGGAAATCCACAGAAGCTGGTAGAGCAACAGGCCATGGTGTCAGGAGGTGGGTTGAGAGGAGGGCTGTTAAGAGAAGTTTGAGTTTTGGCTGCACCGTCTGCATCTGCCCTTTTATATATCCCGTAGAGCCATGGAATTTCCCTAACATTTAGCATTTTTCCTGGATACCATTGCAGAGTCAGCCTCTGATTGGCTAATATTTGAGTTGTTAAGAAGGTTATAAATAGCATTTTGAATAGCCTGCTTTTGTCATTGTTCAATTAAATCTCATTATGTTTCTTCTTTGCCCTTTGGGTCAAGCCAAGGCTCATTATGGAAATTGCATAATAGATTAGACTTTGGCTATCTGTTGCCCTGGCTTGTTTTGTCATAAATGTCCTTCGATAACCTTTAGGCAGAGTTTGTCTAAACTGAACATTCCCTTCCTAAGTGGTCATTCAATTAAGGATCATGATTTTGTAAACAATTTGTCTAGACTTGGAATGGCTACCACTAGTGTCATCAAAACATGAACTATTACCTGAGTCATCAACATCAAAAGAAGTATGCCTTTCTATGCTCCAGTTGTGTAAGCTACAGGATCCTCAGCACTCTAACTAGTATTTTTGTTATTAATGTACATATTCTCAACTGAAACCCTTAGTGACTGTTCCTGTAGATTGTTTTCTGACTCTGCTAATTTAAACATAAGATAGTAATGAATACACATTTTAATAAGTCAAACAGTATGCAGACATATAAAGAAAAGTTAATGTTATTCTCCCTTTTCCCAAAACATACATATCCCTCCCAAAACTAGTACTTCAGAGATAGTCAATATTAACAGTTTTGGGGCACATTCTGTCACATTTCTCCCTGCTTCTGCAAACATAAACCAGAGTATGCACATATATATATATATATCATTTAGCTTAGTAGAGCTGTAATCTCCCATACCTATTTATGCAATGCAAGAGACCTGCTTTTGATCCCTGGGCTGGGAAGATACCCACTCCAGTATTCTTGCCTGGAGAACTCCATGGACAGAGGAGTCTGGCAGGCTACAGTCCATGGGGTTGCAAAGAGTTGACATGACTGAGCAACTAGCACACTATACCTATTTATTATTAAAAAGTTTTAATAAAATACACATAACATAAAATTTACCAACTTAACAATTTTTAAGAGTTCACTCTACTAGTGTTAAGCATGCTCACATTGTTGTGCAATCAATCTCTAGAACTCCTTTTGTCTTACAAAACTGAAACTCTGTATCCATTAAACACCACTTCCCTGTTATCCCCTCCCCAAACTCTTGGCAATCATGATCCTACTCTGTGTCTTGATGAATCTAACCACTTTTTGTACCTCATTTACATTGAATCATACAGGATTTGTCCTTTTGTGGTTAGCTTATTTCACTAAGCATAATGTCCTCAAAATTCATCCATCTTGAAGAGTATGACAGAATTTCCTTCTTTTTTAAGGCTGAATAAGATTCCATTATATGCATATTCCACAATTTGTTTATCCATTCATCCATCAACGACACTTTGGCTGCTTCCATCTTTTAATTACTATAATTAATCTTGCAGGAACATGAATGTACAAATATCTCTCCAAGACTATGCTCTCAGTTTTTTTGGGTGTATACTTAGGAGTACAATTGCTAGATCATATGGTAATTCTAATTTTTATTTTTTGAGTAACTGTCATATTGCTTCCCATAGTGGGTATATCATTTACATTCCCACCAGCAGTGCACAAGGGTTCCAATTTTTCCATGTCCTTGCCAATACTTTTTTGAGTATTTTGAGAATAGCCATTCAAATGGATGTGAGGTGGTATGTCACTGTGGTTTTGGTTTGCATTTTCCTAATTATCAGTGATACTGAGCATCTTTTCATGTTTTTTTTCTTTTTTTGCCATTTGTACATCTTCTTTGGAGATATGTGGATTCATGTCCTTTGCCAAAATTTTGTTGTTATTGGTTTAGAGTTGGTGTTCCTTTTGTTGAGTTGTAGGGATTCTTTACTTTGGAATCTATGATTTGCAAATATCTTCTCCCATTCTGTAGATTGCCCTTTCATTTAGTTAGTTGCTATTGTTGTTCAGTCAGTTAAGTTGTATCTGACTCTTTGTGTGTCCTTTGATGCAGAGAAGTTTTTAATTTTGATGTAGTTCAGTTTATTTTTAACTTTTGTTGCCTATTCTTTTGGGGTCA